CTCCGTTCTTTTTTCCCCGTTTTTTTTCTGTTTTATTTTTTGTTTTTTCCTTAATCGCTGCGCGATCCCGTTCGTTCCCGTGACCCGCATTCTTCGGCGAGTCGCCGATCAAATGTTTGACCATTTCGAACTCATTTGCATGTAATATCGGGCACGGAAAAATTTATGAGACGAACGCGGCCAGAAACGCGAGATCGATTCGGCAACGACGTGGAAAGCCTGCCAAAGTGTTACGCTGACATTTTAATAAGCCTGGGACACACGCTTCGACGCTTCGCGCTCGTTGACCGATGATTTGCGAAACTTTGGACAATTGACGGTGGAACTGGTGAACGAGTTAAATTGAAGCATCTCGGAATTAATTTTTTGTAATTAATTGACTAAATATTTTTTTTAAGTTCGTAATTAAATTGAAATTCGTGTGTTTACACGGATAAAATATAAGTGACTTCGAATATTGACAAATTTGGTCTCATATTTTCTATGAGAAATTTTGAATGTATCACATTCTAGTTTCAGTGTCAAAATTATACTGCGATGTGTACACTTTTTAATGCGTTCGCTATCAACATCAGATATCTGTAACGGTCACCATTATATACTTTACTTGCAGAAAAATGAAATTGATAATGTGGACATTGTTATTTCAAGTTATCAAATTGGCATTAAATTTAGAGACTCGATGAATCTTCTTAATTTTATGTTCTCAATACTTTATTTAGAGGATTCGTTGGGTACCGTGGAACATTGCAACTGAGGAGATCGTCAGCAAACAAATAGTAGCGAGCGTGTTAAGTGTTGTTGGAGTCTAGGTACAACAGGTGGTTTATTCTCTCACTATTCTGCTGTTTCATTGTATCACTATTGTTCATTCTTTAATGACACGATATATAATATTTTTTACACGTTATATTCTTTAATTTTCGTCAAATGGGTTGACTTTCTTATATGAAGAGTTGAACTAATTTCCTTATACATAAATATTATTTTTCTTATGTTAGTTAGGAAAATTGATGTAAGGTACTCACTACAAGAGTATTAGTGTATATACATAGAAAATATGAGTTAGAATTTAATTCAGAAAATTTATTCATTCTCGATATTAACGTATGCTGGATGAACAATAGAATATATTAAAAGCTCCACAAACGATGAATTCTTAACTTATCACTTGAAAAATTGTCCACCCGGAAAGTAGATTTTTTCAATAATTGTCAATTTGTCGTAAAAATATATTATAATATTGTATATACAAGTGTTAACAATATATTTAAAAACGATTGAGTTTCACGAATCAGTCATTTTTCTGATCTGATAACTTTGGTATTTATTAGTCTGTAATTAGACACATTAGCACTGAATTTTATGTATCAACTTGTAACCGATGTTTAACTTTATTTTCTTCGTTAAATAACCTGTATTTGCCACGTTTGCTAGTTAAAAATATTATATTAACAAAGTTTTGCAACAGAAGTTCGTGTGTATAAAAAATATTTATTAGAAACGTTTCAATTGTTTGTATGTAAACAAAATTTATATGGATAACATATTTATCGTAGCGTAAAGAGACATTTTTTTAGGAATCGAAATATAAATAAATTTACTAAACAATGTTAATTTGAAATATTTGTTTAACGATAAAAAGACATGTTTTCTTTTGTACGAAATGGTGAATAAAATATTACAAAAAACTGTAAAAAATTTAAACAATATAAAGTATGAACTATGAAAATAATTAAACGCACTCTGACAAGAGTAATTAAATGCACAAAATATACTACAAATTTATACATATATAGAAATCACAAAGTATTTGGAAAATATGACATGAAACATATCTTTTTCCTTGAATATTTATAATTAAATTGAAGATTAATTAGTGAATGCTTAAAAAACAAATTGGTTAGTAAGCGTCTTAGTAAATAATAAAAATGAGTTACACATTTACTAAAAAGCCACCACGAACAGTTAAACAAAGATATTTTCAACTACGAAAAATTCGAATATGTTATTCATACTTTTATAAAAAAAAGATAGCAAATATAATTAACGATAAGCAATATTTAAATAATATTATAAAGTTTAATAATACATACGTGCTCGATAAATTCGTACGCGACGATTAAGATTCGCTAAGTGGAATTTACTCTTCCACGTGCTACCTGAAAGAAAGTCAATAAAACTGACGCTGCTTTAGTATTCGTTCTTCTCTTATATCGATTCACCGATGTTGGTTCTATCCCTACCAGTTCGATCGTAATTACAGCCTCTGGATCATCTTCCCCACGAACTTCATCATTATTTTGAGGGCAACCTTTTTACTATGCGTTCATCAAAATTTATATTATTCAGAACGCATATATTTACTTCAGTTTTCATTGATTTAGATCTTAAATCAGTTATGAAATTGGCATAATAATTATTTAATTGGTACATTCTGTTGAGCCGTTCATAGAACTCGCGGCAATAAGCACGCGCGAGACATCGAGGGTCATCTTCGACGCGTCCACTCCCGCGTTTTTTTGTTTCGTTATTCAATTGTTATGTACGCGTTCCTCCTCGTGGTCGTATGATCGCATGGTCGGCCGTATAATGTATAATCGCGGAGTGTTAAAAATATATTTGTCTACTTATCAAGTGATTCGTTTATTTTAAGTTATTGAAGTGCATTCATCTTCTCATCAGGCATCAAAGTGCATTTATCTCCTCGTCAGGTTATGGACCTAAAAATCCATAAACTAAAATACTTAGGTTGCGCGTAAGGCTTTAGTTACTGTACCTACGACGAGGATAGACCCACTAGAAAGAAACGATCGCCTGTGAATTAGCGTTTAAATTACGAAAATTTAATGGAATTCGCATCTTTGTTGAATTGGTCACAATTATATAAACTTACTATTGCAATTCATAGAACCATGGAATTGTTTAGATTACCAGAAAATGGTAAAATGATTCATTTAAATGATGTTTTTCAACAGGACCTTGATATTTGGAGTGAATCTCCTGATTTACCATGGACAGCTGAGCGCTATAAAACAAAGGAGGATATAAAACATGATCCCGAAGCAGTGCGACGTGTAAGAAAATTCGCATTCATGGTTAAGAACGGTGATGGCCTAAGTGTACTTGATTGTTTGGTCTTTGCTAGATCACATATTTGTGATGAAGGCGAGTACAAGGTTAGGGCAGTTTGAGGATATCCATTTACGCTCGTATTTATCGCAGCTATAGACGCCCTGCCTTTAATTAGAGCATATCAGAAACGACTTCCAGGGTGGTATGCGTAAGGTAGTGTGCCGGTACCAGCGGTCGGGAATAAACTATACCAACTTATATTTCAAGAAATTTGATAAAACAGTTCTCGCTTGGCTTATTGAAGTAGCTTTTGATGTATTGATGTTAAACATCAGTTTTCTATATTATGAAGATCATAGTGTGGCAAATGTAGGAAAAGCTCTCTGCCCATTCGATTATATCCGGGACTATTTCATAAATACTAAAATATCTCTTGCAGATGGCCACAGGTTTAAAAAACAATCAGGTATAGCTTAATATTATCCTAATCCTGTGGATAACAATCAAGCAATGTGGAATTCTTCCTGAGGACCAAATTGTTCTTAGTGATAATAGCTTAATTAGCTCTTCTAGAAAGTGGTCGATTCCATGGTGCAATTCGTTCCTTCAAACAATTGAAATGCAGCTTAATGTAAACAAGAGTGAAGAAGGCAATACTATCTACCCTAAAATTTCTGGGTTATAGAATAAATCATGATACTCCTGAAAGACCAGATAAGAAAATCTCAGATCTACAAAATAGAGGCACAGGAAAAATAGATAAAGTCTAATCGTAAGGCTCGCGCTGAATTAGTCTTACTTATGCATGCAAAAAAGTTGCAATAGATTTGAAGCTGCAACACCTCACATGAAATTTGGAAGAAGCTCGAGCCAGTGTATGCTTCCAAAGGACCAGCGAAAAAACCATATTTCTCAAGCATTTGTTTAGATATCACTCTAGGACATGATTTCGTTATCGTGAGTCAACAGGGTTATATAAATGACATTCTTAATCGATATGGGATGATGCGGGGAAAGTATCTAGTAGTTCCCTAGTATCACAAACTAATTAGCTTGTTAATATATTTGACTACAGGTACTAGACCAAATATATCCAATGTAATATCCAAGCTTGCTCAGGTTATCAATGATTTGCAACCACAGAATATGAGGGCTACAAAGCGGATCCTAAAGTATTTAACAGGTACGAGGACTCTTGAAATTAAATAAACCAGGTCTGATAAGAAGCTGTTGGGATATTTGGACCCAGACTGGGGTGGATGCGCCCATAACAGGTGATCCTATACAGGCTATACATTCCTTCTTGCGAACAGAATAATAGTATGGAAGTCACAGAAGCAGAGAACTGTGACATTATCGTCAACCAAGGTGGAATATATCAGCCTATCTGAGACAGTGGAGGAAGTTCTACATGTAAGGAGTCTCCTTGATGAATTAGTATTTAGGAAATTCACTGAGACTACTTTGAACATTGATAACAATAGGGCAAAATGTTTAGCTAGTGATCCTCTGTGTCATTCTTGAATTAAGCACATAGACATTAGGCATCACTTTGTTCGAGATGCAATTGGAAAGGGATTAGTTACCCTTAAACATGTTCCATTGAGCCAGATGATCGCGAATATTTTGACCAAGCCATTATCACGAGTAACACACTGGAGATATATCAATGAGCTTGGGTGTTGCTCTAAAGATAGTCATCTCAAAATTGAGCGTGCTTCTTGTTTAGTCAATAAGCAAAACAAATTATTTCTAAATGATTTTGGCCAAAAAATGTTCATGATTATTACGTAAACATAAATATGTATATTTTACATGTAGTTTTGAAAATTATAGTTTAAGTAGTGAGAACTATTACAGTAAATTGTTAAAAAATTTATTTACACAAAAATAAATAAATGTATATAATTTTAATAACATTATTAAAGATGTTTTCTGTTCCTTTTGGCACGTATTTATGTAAAATATAAATTAAACATAAAAGCTGTTGATATTATTGAAACCAACTGGTCTATGTAAAAATTTCCAAAAATACTTTACAATCCGTTGTAAAGCAAATAATGCGATAACTAAATGCGATAATTTATGCGATAAATATTGCATAAATTAAGAGTTAACATGGAAAATACCTAATTTCAGAAACAAAAAATGATTAATGCTTTAATAGCTTGTAATAGAATTGTTGTCAATAATTGTTAATATTTTATATAATATGACACGTCTGCATTAATATTAATTCGAGTAATTTATTAATATCTGAAAATTAACATAATAACAAACACAATAAAATAGAATTATTTTTAACATTGTTAACAAACGAAGTCATTTCAAAACGAATCGTTTGTTTTTTTAAATAAAATACCTATGAAATTACTTAAAAATTATATCTGATTAAACAAATCGGTGTAATTTTTTTTTTATTTCACAAAAATAACATTTTCGGTCAGTAATGTCCAGATCTGGTTACAACTCAGAAGAAAATGTTTATTGGATGATGCATGCTTTTGTGTATGCGTATGTGGGAGTGAAAGAGTGGGAAAAGTTAAAAAAAGGAGTCGACGTATATGTCGAGATGTAACGTGAATCACGTAAGTAATCTATTACACAAGTTTCTCAAACGACATGAAATATTGAAAAATTATTTATTAGTGTTCCTATTTTGGAATTTACATTATTATATCACAATTCCTAATATTTGAATAAAATATGTAACTACATTGGCAAAGATTAAATTAAATATTTCATTCACAAAAGTATCTTAACGTGCGAAAAGACAGGTAACAGAAATATCTATTCAAAAGATTTTATAAAAAAATGACAGTACCTTGTATGTTGTTAAAAAAAGAAAGGTCACTGAAAAATAAGACTATCATCTTTTACATTTTTTTACTAACAGTGATACTGAGTGTACGATCAATCTTAAGAGCATGGCTAAATATGCCGTGAAAGAAATAAGGGATGAATTTGAAATTATATTTAAATATGAAAAATATAAATTTTAAGTAAAAAATTATTCGTATGTTTTAATTGGTACTCAGCACAGAGGTATACCTTTAACTCTTATTTCAATCACCCATCATCCCAGATTTACCAATCTCTGTGTATTAAATTTTTATTTCGGTCATTGTTCGTCTCCCTGGTATCCCTTGACCTCATTTGACCTTGGCTTTTTGATGGACCTTGAAATTCCTCGCATGACTTATATAAACCTTTGGGAATAATTAGAAAGGCCAGAATAGTCATTAAGAGTTCCTGAAAAGCCTTGATGCTTCTTAGAGGCCTTTCTAAGGCTTCACTGATGTTCAAAAGCTAATGTATTTAAGATAAGCGCTTTACTCTACGTTAACGTTAGTACAAAAGTGAAATGTCTGAAATGTAATGTTATTTCATTTTCGGTTAATTTTTGTAACAATTTTTGAACGAACATACTGTAACCGAAAAAAAATATACGAGTTTAAAAACGCTTTTAAATGGATAAAAAGAATGAAATAACAAATTTAAATGGTGAAGATGAACAATGAAAAATAAAAATAAGCTTCGTTTATTGGTATATATATATATACATATTTTCAACTCTTTGACAACTAATAGAAATATATGGATGATAAAATACTATTAAAGCGTCACATATACAAAAGGAAGATGTAGAGCAAAAAAAGAGATAAATTTACAAAGGTAATGTCGAAAAACTATGAAAGGCGTATATATGATACAGAAAACCATTTTTTATTTTTTTTTCTTTCGCGTAGAGAAAAATTCCTAAACATAAAATTTTTCCTAAATTTGCATCATTTCCTTCAAGAGATCATTCTTAGCGGAAGTCAATGCTTCGAATCCCTTGTTCTCCTTCACTTCTGACCGATGTTATATAATAAAGATTTACATCAGAAACTGAAAATGTGTCTGTCTGATGTGTTTTCTTCACGATTTACCACCAAAACCACCCATTAAGTTACCAAGTCCTCCTGCTGCGCCCTGTTGAAGCTGTTTCATAATGTTTTGCAAACCTGGCATGCCACCTAAAAGGATAATTAAACAATTAATAAAAGAAACTAAATTAGTATAAATCATTATTAATATTAGAATAGATTAAAATTTATAAAAAAACTTACCCATTTGATGCAAAACTCGGGGGTCCATCATTTTAGCCATTTGATGATTTAATTTCGCCATTTGTGTGGAATTTACATTTTTCGTCATATCTCCTGCTTTAAATAATCCTTTAATGCCGCCCATTTTCTTTACAATAGCTGCAAACTTCGTGTACTGTGTAATTAAATCTTTGACTTCCTTTTCTGTTACTCCAGAACCTTGGGCTACTCTGACTATTCTGCCTGGCTGTTTACTAAACAATTTTGCGCCATCTCTATTGTCTAATTCTACAAACATTAATCAACATTAACAATCTTATACATCAAAATATGTAAGTAAATAAAATTAAGCGGATATGACCAATAAAAATAACGATATGATAAAATATTTCATTTTTGCAACTAAAGAAAGTAATAAGCATTAGTTTAACTGCAAAAAAACATTTACCAGAATCATTCATACTGTCCATAATTGTCATTAATCGTTTTAATCTTGCCATAGACTCCTGTTCTGTACCTTTAGACATAAAGTCTTGACTTAAGCCAGGAATCATCCCCTATTTAAAAGAAGATATTTACTACATTTTGTTCAGTTCATTCATTTTAAAAGTAAAACTAATAATTTTAAAAACTTAAAACTAATGTTAATATGTTCTGTGTTCAGATATTTGAGTTTAAACCTACAGAAACAAAAAAGCTCTTTGGAGCAATAATGAACAGCTTTAAGGATTGCACCTTATTCTACTAATTTAAACATTTTGAGTTAATGGTACTATAGTGAGTACTCATTATTCTCTATTGTGTGTGATTTATTAACTTTTTATTTAAAACTATCATCGTCTATATATCAACTATGAAACTATAAACGTGTTCAAGAAAATTGTTTAAATATGATAAAATTAATTTAATATGAAGTGTGTAAAAGAACATAAGATAAACATAAATTAATTGTTAATACCAATGAAATCGCATACACGCAAAGTTAACGTGAAAATAATACTCACCATTAATTGAGAAACTGGACCCATTTTCATAATATTTTGAAACTGTTCATACATGTCCCTCAAAGTAAACTGGCCATGTTTAATTTTTTCAAGTAATTCTTCATTATCATCAAGATTTAATTCATTTACTTTGTCTATAAGACCTTCTATGTCACCCATACCCAACAGTTTACTAATAAAAGGTTTTGTTTTGAAGGGTTCTAAGTCGTCTATGTGTTCTCCTGTACCCACAAAAATCACTGGACTTTGTGTTGCAGCAACTCTGTAAAAATATATTCACAATAATATAAGAAACTTTCAAAATGTATAATAATAGAATGATAAGTAAACAAAATTATAGTTATGTAGATTAATGATATATATTATCTGTTATTCGAACTATGATTTATTTATTTAAAACAATAAAATGAATATAATATAAAAAGTATTTATCTATACATTAAATAAATTGTCCCTTATAAATTGCTCTTAATAAAAGTCAAATTTAACCCTTAGCACTCCTGGTTGTTTCGTAATCTTTCAGCAACTGCAACTAATTTTTATAGTATTCCTAGCGAAAATGAGAAATGCTATAACATTTCTTCGATCTTTTATTTTCCTTCTTAGTACAAAATTTGGATGTGTGGAAAATCTAATAATTTTAGGGTAGTTTCTTTAAGATTTATTAAAATATTTAATATTATAACTGGTGCAATATTGGAGCTTACAGAGTTCAAAGGGTTAAAGGACATTGAAACTTACGCTGAAAGTGCTCCACCACCTTTTGCATGACCATCAAGTTTTGTAATGATAATAGAACCGACATTTACACGTTCTTTAAATGCTTTTGCTTGAGCTTCACAAGCTTGACCTATTGTCGCATCCATCACGAAGATTATATTGTCCGGTTGCTAAAAACAATTTTCTCCCTCATTTCTTATGCGAAGAACACATTGAAAACAGGAAAGAATATAAGAAATAACAAATAATCTATAAGAAGTCATGAATGGAAGGATAAAAAAGGACTTGAAAGAAAAAATAAGGAATATTAGAACAGTAGCTCTGTCTCATATTATTTATCGATGAAAGAAGGAATAGAGAAAGGATTGTTAAAAACCATGATAGTAACAAATCACTTACAATTGCATTAGCAACTTGAAGCATTTCCTCGAACAGGGACTCTTCTTGCTTATGTCTACCACTTGTATCAACAATGATGATTTCGTAACCCTCCTTTTTAAACATGTCCACACCCTCCTGTGCTATTGCTACTGGATCTACTTCTGTGTAACTAATACAAGTTTTATATTTATAAACATAATAAATTCATTCATTCTTTAAATAGAAATTACAATTAAAAAGTGCAATTTTAACTAACCTTCCATAAAATGGAATTCTAGCTTTTGTTGCATTTTGTTTTATTTGATCGTAAGCACCAGCACGGAATGTGTCAGCACAAACTAAACATGCTTTCCAATTTTTTTTCAGATAGTGGTATGCAAGTTTTGTGCAAGTAGTAGTCTTTCCTGACCCTTGTAAACCAACGAACATAATAATATTTGGTCGTCCCTTTACAGGCTGATAAGCTTTTACTCCAGGATCAATCAACTACAATAAAATAAAATTAATGTATTAGAATAGTTTTAAAACTAATAAATTATTACTGTGTATTCAAAAAAAAATATAATAGTGAATCAAATGCAGAGAATGCAAGGGTCTCTAAGCTAAAACATCTTGCAGTCATCAGCAAAATATTACCTTTACAAGTTCTTTAAAGACGGCACTCTGTATCATCCTCCTTTTATTGAGACCACCTGCCATATCATCAAAATCAATAACAAAGCGGACATTTTCTCTTAATTTTTTTACAAGCTTTATGTTAACATCTGCTTCCAATAATGCAGCACATATTTCTTTTAACATAGAATTAAGAACCTGTAAACAACATAAAAAAAATCATGTCAACAAAAATGAAGTAAGCAAATATACATATTTATTAAATGAAAAAGTAACTGTATACAATTAATTATAGCATCATTTAAAACTATCTTTCATAATAACTTATAGTTAAAAAAGAAAATAATTATTAATATTAATTATTTTTTAATTGTATACGAATTACAATTAATTATTTGATCATAAATATTATAATTCTTTTTATTTACAATATAATCTTTGTTATTTAAAAGAAATAGTGTCTAATGTATCTAATTATTTAAAACATATGTTAAAAGTTTCATCATCATATATTATAATTAAGTACATACTTTGAAAATAATTTATAAATTCTCATGTTTTTAGTATGTACTGAGTAACTTTATCAAGGACTAATGGGTTAAAAAATACTTTAATATTTATTGATATATTTTTATTCAAATATTTATGAAGAATATAAATAAAATTTATATTTCTTATAACTGTATGAAATGTTATTCTAAAGAAAATAAAAAAGCTCTAATGAATATAAGTAATTAAATTATAAAACAATGAAGCTATTTATACTGTCTACATGTTTTGATTTCTCTCTGTCATCATTAAGTTTTAGGTTATGTTCATAAAAAATTACTTACCTCTTCATTGATAACAGTTGCATTACTTAAAGATCGTAACGCAGATGTAATTTTACGACCTAAATCCGCGAGAACCATTTTGTTATTACTATTTAACTTTTACACGGTTCAAATGACAAGATTTATGCAGACAGTTGTTATCCAAATTTTGCCAACACACTGTAATGACACATTCGGATTTTAGGACAGAGCAAAGCTGAATTTTTATAATTGTTAATTCAAAACCTAGAATTATAGATTTCGAAACAATTTAAAAACTATTTCTTCAAAAAATTCTTGTCAAGAACTATTTCTAGTTTGACACACAATATAACCCTTTCAACGTAGACAAAAAATAGGTTATGTTACGTCAGGTTAGACCATTGATAACTGCTATCAAATAAAGCATTTGTAACATATGGTGCTGATTCGAAAATATTACTAATATAAAATGTTTTGTTATACTTTCATCATATTTTAAAAAATAAGATAGAAATTTACGACAATTTAAAAATTTTGATTTTCCTAGAATTTTCTAGTGTATTTTATTTTTTATTTAATTAATATTAAGTACTATAAATATATATATATATTAAAAATAGTGAATATTAATGTCATTTTCGAGTACATAAAAGAAAATATATATAACTACTTTATAAAATTATTCTCTTACTGATATCAAATTTTTTATTAAATTTTTTAATTCAATAAAGTATGTACAAATTAAATCATTAAAGGGTCACAACGTATTCATCAAATATTACACACTATTATAAGTACATACATGCTATCAGAAAAATTATAATTTGAAATTTGAAATTACCGCGCTTTTAACTTGACATGTAGTAGTTACCGTTTTATAGATAATGTTTTATAGTATTGTAATATCGTTCAGCCGTGCGGAACGAAGCCGCTTGTATATTTGTTCATACGATTGTTTTGAAATTTTTCTGATATGCAAAAAAACTTTATTTGATATATCCTTTTTAACATATAGTTAAGAAAATAAAACTATTTATGAATATTATTTTTGTTTCCATAAGTTATAAAATTAAATTAAGCATTTGTAAAGTTAAACTTAATACGTTGATTCAAATTATGAGTAAACATTTGTGAGATATTGAAATGTCTGTGCTAATTAAAAGTATAAATCGTTCATATTCTAATAAAATTAAGGTTAAGTGTCGAATATGAGTTAAATGTAATTATTTGTAATAATTGAACATTATTGAGGTTAGACAATGAGGATATAATGTATTAGGAGAAATGTCCTGTGAATCTTTCAAAGATCGACAGGAAAACGAAATTGAAGTCTTGAAGGTGAGTCTAAAAGTACATGAAATTAAAATTCAGACTATTAAAGTACTATGTTTTATACCTATATTTTTTATTGTGTTTTATATTTTAATACGATTCTTCAACTAAGAAATTAAAATTTATAATAGGTAAAGTTTAGTGACTGTTCAATAATAATAATAGTTTTAAATTATTTATAATTTATTTTATTTTTATTATATATTTATGATTTCATTAACTTTATTATTTTATTTTTGGACAATTATGATGTAAGTTTTAATAATATTATGTTATAATAGTTCATCTTTTATTAATTAAATAATTTTTTTAATGTTATATTAAAATACATCTTTTCCTCAATTTTTATTGTATTATTTACTGTATAATTTAAAATTCAATAAAACCAATGTGAACAAATTGAAATTAATAAACATAGTAGATATTATTATATACTAATTAAATTTTATATACGTTTTACATAATAAAAGCCTTTTTAAAACATAAGATGATGTAATAATATTAATTGTAAACATATTATTAAATAAATATGTTCATTTTTATAAATGTAACTAAAAATTGTCCAAATAAAACAGAATCATTTTACATTTATTCGAAAAGTCTTGCCAATTTGCCAATTTATTTTGTCAAAATGTATGTTTTGTATTCAATATCTCTAATTTCTAATAATTATAAATTTAGTAGTTCTTGGTCATTTAAATTATCAATTAATTTTATAATGAAATAGATAAGAAGATGAAAATAAAATAGTATTGTTTGCCATACAGAGTATTTTTGGAGATGAATTTTGTGATTTACGACGTGGAAAAAATAAACGAAAATGGCAACCCTTAGATATATTGGTAACTTTAATACCTCAGAGAGGTATGTCTGGTCCAGCTGAAGTATACGCACAAATCGACTTACATGTAACATGCAGTGATAAATATCCTGATGAGTAAGTTTCTTGTAAGGATTTATGAACATATGTTGGAATTTGTTAAAGAAAACATGTTTTAATTAAAAACTAATGCTCATGAAACATGTTTTTTCATTTTATAATCTACATTCATATCATAAAATATTAATATATATTTATAAACCATTGTTTGCAACATTTCATTTATAAAGATTATACAAAATTTAGAGTAACATTGATAAAATAAAAATGAGAACTACATTACTTTCATCCTAACAAATCTCATATTTAAAACAATAAATTTTCCCAATATTTTATATTTATAAGACAAATACTTAAAATACCAATTTACCTAATAATTTTGTAATTACAAGAATAGTGTTTTTTGTTTAATAAATTACAGAGTACCACACATAGAACTGCAAAACAGCAGAGGCTTATCCAATCAACAGGTTGGAGTATTATATTCTGAATTAGTAGATCTTACAACTCGTTTACGTGGAGAAGTAATGATCTTTGAATTAGCTCAACATGTTGAAAAATACCTTCACAAAAATAACAAGCCAGGCTATAGCAGCTTTTATGAAGAAATGGTTTCAAGGCGCCAAGAAAAAATTGAACTTGAAATGGTGGAAAAACAATTGCAGGAAGATAAAGAAAGACAGGTTAAACAATAAGATTTATGTTATGACTAATATTATCTTAAAGCCAATTAAAGATATTATGGTAACCCTGGAATGAAACTTTTACAGATTTTTAATTGGTTATTTATAAAAGATGCTTTGTTAATAATACAAAAAATTCTAGGTATTACAGGATGAAATTCAAAAAAGGCAAGAAGCTTTGAAAGCTGAAAGTCGTAATCGAAAGGAATCAATTCGCTTGTCCAATGACCGATCAGAAAATCCATCGCAGGCAGTATTATTTCCTCCGCAGGAGAGATTACGGCTTTATTCTCGACGGAGATGTGCTAGTAGTTCCGAAAGTTCTGATGGCTTTTTATGCGAACACAGAGGCACAAAATTATTGCACTTTGATCACAATAAAGGTGTATAATTTATAATAATCATTCACTACACTTTGCTAAATAATGACAGATGGAAGATCAAAATGAAATCATATGATATCTTTAAGATGCATTTATCCAAATAGTTATTTACAAGATGCATCCAAATAACTATTAATTATAAAATTTGTAATTTTTACATCTAAGAAGAGGATAATAAAAAGTAGATGAAGTTTTTAAAATAGAAAGTACAATAAAGAATAAAATCATTTCAATCTTTCTAAGAATAACTTGCATTTTTTAAACATTTGAATGGAAATTTAAATTCACATTTAATAAATATTATAATTTTTATAGATGAACGACAAATATACAGAGGAAAATGTATGGGTCATAGTACTAAAGGATCAGTTGTGTACGCGGGTGTGGATATGATATCTGGTGAATTATTCGCAATTAGTGAATGGACATTTAAAAAAAATAATAATATTGATGAAAATAACATGCAACATATTACTAAACAAATAGGAAGTCTCGAGCAAGAAATAAATCATTTATATAAATTACATCATCCAAATCTTGTGCACTATCTAAATATGAAGTACTTACAGAATGAAGACGAAACATTACTTTATGTTCTTCAAGAGTTTGTGGTAAGTTTATAGTTTACAAGTAAATAAGTAATTTTAATAGAAATATGTTTTATATAATACTAACAAATACAGTAATATTAAAAGCAATAAATTGCAACAAAAACAAGGCAATATTATACTTACATTATTTGATACATGAAGTTACAGAAATCATAAATCGCAATAATAAACATTTAGTATTTAAAAAAAGACGAATCATTTTATTACTGTATTTTGCATAAATTTTTTCCTAAAAGACAAAGTAGAATTTTGTACGTTAATAGTTTATTATTAGATAGGTACTAGCTGTTCCTTCTTCTTGTTGGAGAATATCCCGGTGGATATCGATCTTCTTAGATATCTAGCAACTGGAATCTTATTCGCTTTGAAGTACCTCCATGACAATAATGTTGTTCACAAAGACTTACGTGATACGAGTATTTATATTGATCGTGCAGGAACAGTTAAGTTATCGGATTATTCACTTAACAAACGTTTGACCGACATTTATCAAACGTGTACAATAGTCAAGCCTGAACAAGATTTTCCTAGCATCCAGGGAAGAGGTGGGAAAAAAGCTGATATTTATCGGTTTGGTGTCCTTATGTTTTCCTTACTGAATGGAGTTATTGCTTCTGGAGATAAAATTGACCCAACAATGATTAATCAGGTATTTACTAATTTTCTATAAGTATAATATTTATTTTTCCAACAAATTTGTAGGAAAGCTGTTATTATTCTTTTTTTAAACAAAAGGTTGATACATTTATATTTTTTGATCGTAAATTTTTTAATTAGTTGAAAGAACATTCATTTTCGTAAAGTAAAGTTTTATGAATATTTCAGCCTGATCTCCAGGATTTTTTACAAAAGTGTCTGATTAATGATGAACGTAAGCGTTGGTCCGCTGAACAATTATTACAGCATACATTCATAAAAGCACCTCTAGCTCGAACATTATCACCTCCAAAAATACCACGCAGAGAGGAACAAGAGAACCACGAACCTGAGGAAACCGATGCAGATATCCGACAATATGTGCCGCCTTTAGGTGGTCATTCAAGAATTACAAATGAATTCGAAGTTCTTGAATGGCTCGGTAAAGGTGCCTTTGGCGATGTACTTAAAGTGAAAAATAAGTTAGATGGTGGAATTTATGCCATCAAAAGAATAGAACTTAATCCAAAAAATAAACAGTTGAACAGGAAGATTACTAGAGAAGTGAAATTATTGTCACGTATGAATCATGAAAACGTAGTGCGATATTATAATTCCTGGATAGAGAGTGCTACCATAACTGACGAAACGGAAAAAGAATGTGAAACACCTTTAGAAAAGAAAAACAAAGACTTACTTAATGTAAATATCATTCTGATTACTGTATTTGAAGCGATTCTGTTATTACTCTCTTAAACTGTATTATGTTGTCAGCTTAACTTTTATTTCATTTTTCTATTTCATTACTTACCAATCTCTATTAGATGATAAATTAGCCTTATAAATTATTCTTATCAATCAAAAAGATACATATAAACAATGTTGCAGTAATACAAATTAAAATCATAGGTACATTGTTGTAACTTTAAACTGATTGTTTAGCACTTGGGTACGGACGATATCGAAAAATTAGCTCCGCCATTGCAAGACGTAGAGTGGAATATTTCGTATAAATCTCGTACAAACACCACACTACCACAGGATAGCGATGAAGACAACAGTGATGCTTCAAGTGATACCGACAGTGACGAAGATTGTGCGTTTTTGTAAGAAATCGTTTATTCTGGAACTTATATAGATAAATACGATAAATACTTATACAATAAACGTACGATGTTTAGCTAAAAATATTTTTTATCAAATAAATTGTTTATTGAGATTATCGTTACGTCTATATTACAATTAAAATTCATTGTATTAATTTTCTTTTGGAACTGTACAAGTTTTAGAATCATAAATGAAATTTATATGAACATAAGTTTAAAAGATAATGAAATTTTTACAAAAAATGTAGAAAATTAAACAATAATCATAAATTATTTTCCAGAATGCGAAATTTGTTAAGAATAGATTCTTCCGATAGTATAGAATTTGAAAGAGATTCGAATTTTCAAGAATCTTTGTCCAGCGTGAAAGAAGATGAAAGTGAAGATGCAAATAAATCAAAAGAAACAACAAGAGAGATTCAGTTTATGTATATTCAAATGGAATTTTGTGAAAAGAGCACTCTTCGAACAGCTATCGATGGAGGTCTCTATGAAGATCAAGAAAGAGTATGGAGACTATTCCGAGAAATTGTTGAAGGTTTAGCACATATCCACCAACAAGGCATGATACACAGAGATCTTAAACCAGTGAATATATTTTTGGATAGCAATGATCATGTAAAGATTGGAGATTTTGGCCTAGCTACAACAAACATATTTTCATCATTTGTCCAGACTATGGAGATTGACAAAGAATCGCAAACTATGGAAAAAGGTAAATATCATATGATTTATATACATTAATTTTTACTAATAAATCAGTCTACATATTATTTTATTATTACTATTTACATTAATAGTTTAATGTAATTAGATTGGAAACCAGTTTCACCTGTGTACTTACTTTAATCTAGGAAACGACTTATATGCCTTAAAATTCTTATATGATGTAAATAAATATTTTTAATTTTATTGGAAAATATAATTTCTTTTTTTTTCTTAATTTAGGGATAATATTTTAATAAGTGATTTTCTAGGATTTAGTTTTGGTACAGAAGACGTGGGTTCTTTAACAGGACAAGTGGGCACGGCATTGTATGTAGCGCCGGAGCTTACAACGAAAGCGGTAAAAGCTATTTACAATCAAAAAGTTGATATTTATAGTCTCGGAATAATATTATTTGAAATGAGTTACAAGCCGTTAACAACAGGAATGGAACGAATTACGATTTTGCTCAATTTACGGTTAAAAGAAATCATATTTCCCCCAGAAATGCAGCAGCCAGATATGACGTTGCAAACTCATATCCTACGGTAAATATTAAATAAATTTTATTGTATTACAAACCTCTTTATTCTAACTATGTAATAATTTTTTTCTATTGGTGGTAATATTAGAGTGATGTTAAAGGCATTTATTAGGTATTTAATACATAACCAGATACATAATTTTAACTAATTAAATAAAATATCTCACAATTGCAGATGGTTATTAAACCACGATCCCAGTCAACGACCTACAGCACAAGAACTTCTCTCTTCGGAATATTTACCTCCTCCGCGTCTCGAAGAAACCGAATTACAAGAAATGATTCGACGTACACTCTCTAACAACCAGAGCAAAGCGTATAAATATTTAATTTCGTGTTGTTTTATGCAAGAAGTTACACCGGCAGACGATATCACATATGATATGAATTTACCTAGTAGGAGTCGTATAAATTTTTTGTCTTGGAAAAAATATCAAGAGAGAGTGAAGTGCAAAGTGATTGAAATTTTTCAAAAACACGGTGGCATTTATTTAGACACGCCGCTCTTGATGCCGAAGTCGCGACAGTTTTGTAGTTTTTCAGATTCAAGTGTAAAATTAATGACTCGTAACGGAAACGTTGTTTGTATTCCCCATGATCTACGTGCTCCTTTTGCAAGATACGTAGTTTGGAATAATGTTTTGCACATCAGAAGATATGCCATTGAAAGAGTTTTCAGAGAAAAGAAGGTACTTACAAATTTTTCTTTCTACTTACATATTTATTTGTAACAAATGACCTTGATGATTTTCATTAATTTCTTTATTCCACTCTATATCGTAGGTACTAAGTCACTTTGTTTATTCTCTATGATAATAGTTTTAAAATGTTATTATTAAAATTTAATACAGCTTATAAACATATTTAAAATAACTTTATCATCTTCATTATAGTTTTTTTTTATTATTTGTTTTTAAATATTTACAATGGTATCAATTTTTGTTTACAATTGATACACGTTTACATTCCATAGGTTCTGGGCTTCCATCCCCGAGAACTTTATGAATGTGCATTCGACATAATAAGTCCTACTGCTAATAATTTATTAATGGAAGCTGAATTAATACATATTGTCTGGGAAGTGATAAACGAATTGCCCTCGTTACAAGAACGGAATTTCACGATTCGCCTAAATCATGCTTCCTTACTAAAAGCTGTGTTAATGTATTGTGGAATTGATCAAGAAAAGTATCAAGATATTTATTCTATTCTTCGAGATGCACGCGATGGAAAGTTTTCTAGATTTCAAATACAAACGCATTTAATAAGCCTTTGTCTGACTGATCAAGCCATGGAAACGTTATTCAATTTATTTGAGACTGAGAGTTCTATTGCTAAAATTCATAGTGTGTTGAAGACTATAACTAAAAGAAAAGGAGACGCCGCAACATTAGCTAAAGAAGGACTAAAAGAAATCGAGACTGTAATGGAATATATTGAACTATTAGGTATTAAGGTAAGATAATACAGTGGAAAAAATAGTTTATAGATTTACTATGTATTGTGTTTAATTATAATGTTTTTTTTCCTAATATAACTTAATATAATCATTTAAAAACATAATAAATATTACATCTTTCAGTGGTCAGTAGTAGTGGTACCCCTTTTGGTACATAATATAAATCAACATAGTGGTATAATTTATCAAATAACGTGCGAAGTTAAACGGCGTAGAAGAAAATGCGGAGAAGAAGTGATAGCAGCAGGTGGACGTTACGACAAAATGCTATCTTCTTTTAGGAAAATTCTTGAACGTACAGAAATGGCCAGCAAAGAAACTAAGCAGTACGGTGTTGGAATCAGTATATCATTAGAGAAACTTGTTTCTGCTGTTTTGGAGACATCAGAATCCTCAGAAAATAAGTATGGTATCGATGTTGCCATTTCCTGCTTGGGCAATCCTCATCGAGAGAAAGAGATGATAAATCTCTTGAAAGAATTGTGGAGTTTTGGACTGAAAGTTACAACTTTAGATTTAGCATCCGTTGAAGAAATTCTCGAATATTGCAGAGAACATTCGATCAATCAAGTTGTTATTTTAAAAGCCAGCGAGAAAGGAAGTATGAGAGTCCACAGTTGGGAACGGGATAGATTTCAAGAAAAGAGAATAGCAACTCAAGAGGTCGGAGAATTTTTCCAAAGATTAGACACATCTATACCCATTTTAAACAGATCAGAGAGTAAAGCAGCAACAAACGAAAACTTTTTAAGCAATAGTAATCCGATTAACATTAACGTTAACTTTATTTTGTCAGAAAAGGACAAACTTTCTGGTAGTTTTAGGAGGAGTTTGAAAAATTCTATATTTGCTCAGATGTCAACATATTTACAAAGAATTGCATATAAAATTCCGATCGAAATTTTTGCAATATCTTTAGAAATGAGTGTGATCAGAACAATTATAAGTTTTTTGGAAATTGATGAGGAAGATCAAGATTTTCTTAAGAGTATACAAGTCATTATTGATAAGTAAGTATTTATTAATCAGATATTAATGAAATTCTTTATATGGTTTCAATACGTTTACATATATCACAATTGTAATCTTTTTAGACACGCAAGACACAAAAAATACATAAAGGAAATATGCGAAAAATTGCGAGAAACGAGAAGGGAGAAATTGAGACCTGTACTGATACTATATAGTTTAATAGACAGTCAATATATGACTCTTTTATAAATAGTTTATTATTTTACAAAAGTTTATAATTATATATGTACAAGTTATTACATGAAAGAAATAATTTGTCACATAACTAAGTAATTCATAATAAAAAATGATTTGATTTTTATATTAAAACGATAATTTTAACACAACCATAATGCAAAACAACTTTGTAGAACTCGGTAGTAACGAAGACTATTTTATTTTTGTTTCCGTTAGCTTACTTTCACTGTTTCTTTTCGATACGAATTTCCAAAATACGAAATTACAAGGAGGAAACATACATGATCCTTATTTTATTAAATTTTAACATGCAATCACTTCAGACGTTTTTTGGGAGTAAAGGGATATCATCTGACACTAGAAAGAAGAGACAATTATATTAATATACAAATAATGAAAACTTATGTTGAACAAATTTTTAAAACTTGAAATTATTCAATAATTTTATGAAAAAATGCACCATACAAAAGTAAAATATAAAAAAAGCTATACCTTTCTGATCTAAAATATTCAAGTACTCTTTTAAAGTAGACATTAGTATTTATTCTGAGTTTCATTTTTTACAATTATCGATACAGAATATGTTGAGCTTAAATCTCGTTCTTACATTTTTATATTCACACGACATGGACAAATATAATATTTAGCGGTGTATGAATACACCTTATATTTCATCATGGCGTCGCCGGTCCTTCCGGCAAGCGGATGTACTACCGTGTCTTGTGTCCTTCATATTACAAAACTACAGAATGACGGGCGACGTGGTAATGCTGGACGATCATGTCCAGAAAGAAGAAGAGGTAGCTCATTTTCAAGCACCTGCAATTCAGCACAACCCTAATGGATGGGGTCCTTGCGAATTACCTGACCAATTCAAAGATATACCTTATCAACCATTTTCGAAAGGCGACAGATTGGGCAAGGTTTGTCATATACTCTTTTTTAGCTTAAACGTAATTTAAAAAGTATTTTTCACATATGTATTTCTTTACTTTTTAACATAGATATCCGACTGGACAACTCCAGCTTTTCAGGACAAAAAATTCCACAGTAAGTAATATTCATTTTTACTTAACCTGTATCGCTGTCTACAGTGAAATCGTCATCTACCACATTGTAGACTACTTCTGGACGTATTAATTATGAATGTGATATAATTTGCTTTTTATAATTAAAATCATTGACAGCTTTTCACAATCCTAGAATTAATTAATTATTAATAAATAGCAATTAAAATTTACCTCAATAACTGAAATTTGTAGCGCATTATGAAACTAGCTTCTTTTATAATATTTTATTTCATTGAAAATTAATTATATTCAATATTTAGAATATTTATATATTTATATGTTTTTTATATAATATTAGAACTTATATATATTTTTTTTATTGAATTAATATAGAAAATATTTGATCTAACATTATTATTAGAAATATATTTTACTAAAATTTCATAAAAATGTTCCCTATAACAATTACATATAATATGATAGATGATAAATATTAACAATAGCTTTATTCAAAGATCAACTTTTCTTAAGCAATTAATATATTTTAATTTTTTGGATACAATGGCCACTTTAAGGAAAATGTATAAATTTATATTTTTGATATATTTATATTAATTTATATATTTGTATGTTTATGATTACATTATTAAAATTAATGAAAGAATGTATTTATTTTGTATTAATGGAGAAATTCTTATTTTTATAGACAAGTATACATCGCAGTTTGGTTCAGGCAGTCAATATGCATATTATCATGATGAAGATGAAACAACATTCCATTTGGTTGATACAACACGTGTGCAAAAACCACCTTATCAACGAGGTGGTCGCTTCCGACATAATCAGAGAAACTTACGTGGTCGTGGTGGTCAACGGGGTGCCCTGAGCCAGATGCAACAGCTTAGTAAACTGAAACTTCGTGAAAGAGAACGCAAAGGTCAAACAAAACGATGGGGTAGACAGCAAGGGTTGCGCAATCATAAAAATCAACCTCCCATTAAAATTCGCGATGCATCTGTCACTGTAAGACCTGATTGGGTAACTATCGAAGAAATGGATTTTCCTCGCTTGACAAAATTATCTTTACCTGGTGTTAAAGATGGTGAAGATATTTTGTGCTGTGGTTCCCTTGAGTATTATGATAAAACTTATGACCGAGTAAATGTCAAGAGTGAAAAACCATTACAAAGAATTGATAGAATTTTCCATACAGTGACAACTACTGATGATCCAGTAGTCCGCAAACTCTCAAAAACAGAAGGAAATGTCTATGCTACAGATGCGATTTTAGCAACAATTATGTGTTGTACTCGAAGTAACTACTCTTGGGATATTGTAATTGAAAAAATTGGAGATAAATTATTCTTTGATAAGCGTGATAACACTGAATTTGATTTGCTAACTGTGAATGAAACTAGCGTCGAACCTCCACAAGATGATGGAAATTCTTTAAATTCTCCTAGAAATTTGGCTCTGGAAGCTACATTCATCAATCACAATTTTTCGCAGCAAGTATTGAAATCCAGTGAACCTCGATATAAATTTGATGAAGGAAACCCGTTCATTTCGGAAGAGGAAGAAGGCGATGTTGCTAGTGTAGCATATCGATACAGAAAATGGGATTTAAATAATGGAATTGTTCTCATTGCAAGATGTGAACATGACGCTGTTATGCAAGGACCTAACAATGAAATGCAGTTTTTGACTATTAAAGCATTAAACGAATGGGATTCAAAATTGGCCAATGGTGTGGAATGGAGACAAAAATTAGATACTCAACGTGGTGCGGTACTGGCAAACGAATTACGTAATAATGCATGCAAATTAGCAAAATGGACTGTCCAAGCATTATTAGCTGGCTCTGATCAATTGAAGTTTGGATATGTATCAAGAGCAATGGTTAGAGATTCTAGTAAACATGTTATCCTTGGTACTCAGCAGTATAAACCAAATGAATTTGCAACACAAATCAATCTTAATATGGATAATGCTTGGGGTATTTTAAGATGTATTATTGACATTTGTATGAAGCAGAAAGATGGAAAATATCTTATAATGAAAGATCCAAATAAGCCGATGATAAGATTGTACGATATACCGGACAATACGTTTGAAAGTGAAGGGGAAGAAGATGAAGACGATGACGAGCCTGTCAATGATGCTTTTCAGAATTAACAGATTCATAGCTTATCTCAGCTTCTTCCAGATATTGTCTTAAAATTCATTGATTTGTACCATGAGCACACTCTGTAAGAGAACAAAAATATGGACAAATAAACAAATTCAAATTAAACCTGTCACAAATTCAGTTTCAAGAATTGTTAAAAACTTGTCTTTCTCTTAAATGAAATTTGATAAAGATTTATATAAAAAAATCTTTTATTTAAATTTATTATATACACTGTATGTATTTTATTTCATAAATTTGTGCTATTATAATCGTGATTAATATTTTACAGTATTGAAGAAATTAGTTATTTTTATTTCATTCATATTTATATTGGTAGAATTTAGCATAAAATTTAAATACTCATAACTTCAAAATATGTTTATTAAATATTTTAATTATTCGTATATTTAAATACTCCAACTTTTAAATAAATCTGCACATAGTATTATTATACATTGTATAAACATTTGAATATTTACATTTAAATCAA